TTACGCATTAATTTATTTTATCGAGAGTGAATTAAATGCTGGTTCTGAATCTCTGATTGCTCGTCTAATCACTACAACTTTTGATAAAAGTGATAAAAAAGAAAGACATTTCCCAAATCATTTTCCAGAAACCCCCGAAAAAATTGACTTATCCAAGGAAGTTGATGAGGGTGACGAAATATATGCTGAATTAAAACGGGGAACAACTACTTATTCCTTCTTAAAATGTGATTCTTGGCCAATACATCTTCTTATAAAGGAAGGTGGTCATATAAAAGTTCTTTTAAAGGACGAATCTCAGGCTATACTATTGCTATCAAAAATTCCACTTTGTGGTGGGCCAGCTTTATCAGTTGTATTTATTTGTGGTGTTAATCGGTTCGGCAAACTTGATGATAAATATATGGATTTCTTGAAAGTATGCAAATTTTCTCATTACTGTATTTATCACGATTTTTAATTTCATAATATTTTATTAGTAACTTTATGCATTATAATCTGTACGTTATAATCTGACCTTATAATCTGTTAGCTAATCACAAATCAAATGAATACATTTTTGCTACTTGGGAAGTCAGTTGAGGAAGAAAAGAAGCGATCTAAGATATTGGCCGATTTAAACCACCAAAAGATAAAATTTTTTCAAGGCATTAGTCACGAATTAAAGGGTATTTATATATAATAAAGTATTCTTTTAAATTTTTATTATTTTATTACTTAAATTATAGGATTAACCTTTTTTTTTTTTACTATGCAAAGTTCCGTTAAATTTAATGCTTTCACCACTCGACAATGTTATCAATGCAACTCCACGAGAAACACCAATAATGTCACATCTTCAAATTATACGGAATAATACTCACCGATTGCTCAAACTTATTAATGTTTTGTTACAAGTAAGTCATATATACTTTGATTTTTTTTCAAAATTATTCTATTAATAACGATTCATTTCTTATATAGTTTTCGAGTATAGAAGCCGATCAATTAGAAGCACATTATATTGAAACTGACATAATTGAATTTACCAAAGAGTTAGTTTCAGACTTTAAAAATAAAGCTAAAACGTTAGGTTTAGATTTCATCGTCGATATTCCAAATCCAACCGAATTTAATCATACTATATGCGACAAGATTTATTTAGATCACAATACATATGAAACAATTGTATTTAACCTTTGTAAGCATTTTCTAAATTTGTGTGTTAAAAAATTTTTTTTTCATTAAAAGATATTTTGCTTGTTATAGGTTCGAATGCATTAAAATATACTTGGAATGGATGCATAACCATTAGATTATATCTTGATTATAAAGATAAAAAGAAGATGGTTGTACTCGAAGTGTCAGATACAGGTTAATAATATTCCTTATTAAACTTATTACTCCATTTAAAAGATGTATAACCTTTATGAATGCTGTATAATTCTCACTTGTATTTATTTTAATTTAGGAGTTGGTATACCAGAAGTCGCCCTTCAAAACATATTTCAACGCTTTTATCGTGCAGAGCCTCAAAGTTCACGTAGCCATGAAGGTACAGGAATAGGACTTGCACTTGTCAAAGAACTTATTACACGTCATGGTGGAGATATCTCTGTAACTTCAGTAGTAAATAAAGGAACGACATTTAAATGTTGGTTTCCAATAGGATATGAACACTTACCTATAAATCAAATATGTTTTAATAACGATGAAAATCCATTAAATCACGATGGAAAGGAATTATATACAAATCGACAACTTTATTTAGAAGAAAGTTCCCAATGGACAAAAAATTATACATCTGAAACTCAAAATGATTCAAATCAATTGTTAATCAATAATTGTAATATTGATAAACCCTTTGCAAAAGAGAATAGGTTTATTTCCTCTATGGATAATCAGGTTTCTGGAAAAAAATATCAAATTTTAATTGTTGATAATAATAATGACATGCGGTAATAATCACTTTATTCGATTAAATTATCAAAAATATTTTGTAACTTGTTTCTTATTTATTAACTATATTTATAGAGCCTATTTAGCGGATTTGTTAAATGAATTTGACATCATTCATGCTCATGATGGTAAAGATGTTATAAGAATTTTAAAAAAGTCTAATAAATTACCGGATTTAATTCTTAGTGGCAAGTAATTATAGAAGTATACCGTTTTGAAATGATATTTAATTTATTAAATTGTATAATTATATAATTTGAATTAATAGATGTCATGCTGCCAAATATTAATGGATATGAGTTATTAGATGTGTTAAGATCTAACATAAAAACACAACTAATTCCTGTAATATTATTATCTGCAAAAGCTGATGAAGATTCTAAAATTAAAGGTAATTTAAATTATTATATTATTATTCATTTCTTTTCATTAATTTTTAATACATTTATTTTTAGGTTTGGATAAAGGTGCAGATGATTATTTAATAAAACCTTTTTCTGCCCAGGAACTAATTACTCGTATTCGAGTTAATATTAAGCTTTCACTTCTACGTCGTAAAATAATATTTCAACAATGTAAACAAGAAGAAATAAAACAATTATTGCTTTCAATGTCAACCAAAATTTCTTCTGGATTAAGTATGAATGAAACATTACAATATATTGTTAAAGAAGTCTATCATAAATTATCATGTGAAAGAGTACTTATTATTTCAAATGAACAAGATGAATTTAAGAATAATAAAATACTTGCTTTATATGAAGATTCAGAAAATCAATACATGGAAATTAATGATACCGACGAGGATAAATCACAAAAAATTTTAAATAAGAATTCAGGAATAGAAATTTCTTTGGACGTATACTGTAATAATGTTCGTAAAAATGTGTCAATATTATCTGCAGAAATAAGATTAACTGATGATTTTTGGGGATGGATAAAAATTCATAGACCTCAAAATTCTATTTGGCTTGACTCTGAAATAGATTTTTTACAACAAATATCGAATCAAATAAGTTTAGCAATTACATATGAAAGTTTATTAAAAGAGAATATTGAAAAAGAAATTCAGATAAAGGCTGCTGAAATTGCAAATAATACAAAGAGTCAAATATTAGCCAATACTTCACATGGTATATTATTTTACTATAAAACTACTCTTAAATGTTTATACTGTTAATATTGTTAATAAATCTTAATTTCATAGAATTACGAACACCATTAGGAGCAATAATAGGAATTCTTCCTTCGCTTGAGGATACTCACTTAACTACTGATCAAAAGGACATGCTAAATATCGTAACAGGTGCTACTGATATCGTGTTATCTATAGTGAATGATATTCTGGATGCAGCAAAATTAGAAGCAAGAAAGATTATTCTAGTAAACAGAACATTTGATTTATTAGAATTAATCGATGACACAATTGAGATGTTCGGAGAAAAAGCGGGTTCTAAAAAAATTGAACTAATTATAAATTATGATGTAGATAGTTTGCCGAGATTTGTCAAGAGTGATCCTGAAAGGTGATTAAACAAATTTCCTTATCAAATATATATATATACATAGAATTTATTACTGATCTTTTACATATTAATTTAGACTGAAACAAATTTTATTTCATTTATTATCTAATTCGTAAATAAATTTATATTTTTTTTTGTTTACATTGATTGTTCATGATTTAATTTATTCTAATTTTTTTAGAGTTAAATTTACTGAAAAAGGTGAAATAGTACTGACAATTTCAATGCTATCACGAGAAGTTATTGACGAAGACAACTCAAAACAGATTTATGATCAAATGACTAAAAAACATGTTTTGCTAATTGAATTATATGATACTGGTATTGGGTAAGCTACTTATTATTTTATTATTTATATTTTAGTATATATTTCATATAACAGATTATTAAATAATAATAATAATAATAATAATAATAGCATAGATCCTGAGTATATGCAACATATTTGGAGAAGTTTTTCACAAGGTGATATGTCTATAACTAGAAAACAGGATGGTACAGGACTTGGTCTATCAATATGTAAAAATCTTGTAGAAATGAATGGAGGAGAAATTAAAGCAGAAAGTCAGTTAAGAAAAGGAAGTAAATTTTGGTTTACATGGAATATCGAATTATTATCATCAACTACACAAACTATTTCAAAATTTCAATCTCCATTATTAAATATACAATTTGATAAACGACCAAGTGATATATTACCTCAAGTTATAAGACAAAAACGAATATTAGTAATTCATCCAATTGAAAGGATGAGAAATGCAATGCTGAAATATCTTAAAAATGTTGAAAAAGTTGATGCATTCGATACTTTTGACAAAGCTATTAAAGCAGCAAAAACATATCAAGAATTACATGATAAATCTGCTTATGATATCGCATTTATTGGACTTTATGAAAATAATAAAGAGGATGTCATTAAAGTGGCATTAGAATTACGTGGATTAACAACTAATAATAATAATTTAGTAATAATCTTTATAGTGTTTCAGGGTGATGAAGGAAATGTTTTAGCAAAAAAATTAATTGGAAAAGTTGGGGGAACAGCCTTCGTTATTTATGCACCAATTACATGGAACAAGTTAATCAATCAATTTATGCGTATGGGTAAAAATGATAGTATTGACAAAAATAATATGATTCTGCGTATGAATGAAAACAAAAGTGCAAATATGCTAAAGAGAGTAGGATCCCATAAGATGGGAAATGGGAGTCAAGATATATATAAAGATAAAACTAGAAGAGATTTTAAAAGAATGTGCATTTCTGGAAAGGATTCTAAAGAAAAGTATATTTTATGTGTGGTATGTCTTTTTTTTCTTTATATTGGTTAAATCTCACATACTTGTTTAATCTCATAACGTTAAACTTCTATTGATAATTAAAATTATTTTATAGGATAATAATTCTATCAGTCTGGAGGTAATCTGATTTCAATACTGTATATAAATTCATTACTTTACCAATTATATTATTTATTTTGATTTTTAGAACACGTTACAGCAAATTTCAAAACTTGGTTATTCAACAATCTCCACAATGAATGGCCAAGAAGCAGTTAGATTGATTGATTCTGAGTTTAAGTCATTAAGCAATACATTCTCAAGTTCATCTAATTCAGATATGGATCAAATAAATTCTTGCAGAATTTCACTAATTTTAATAGAAAATAATTTAGTAAGTTTAATTCAGTTGTATTTATTGTCGTGGAAAATATTTACGTTCCCAATTAACTTATTGTTATACTTTAGTCAGTAATGTCAGCCTTTGAAGTTTCACGCGCAATTAGAGCAATGCGACCACCAATTTCAAATGTACCGATTATTATGCTAACAACTACACTAACAGACGAGATACAGAATGAATGTATCGAGACAGGAATAAACGATTATCTCACGAAACCTCTGAAAACTGAAGAACTTGAAAATGTATTATCTAAATGGATTAGTAAAGATTACCATTGAAAATATTATGAATTTTAAATCATTTTTAAGCTTTTATCAATAATTCACATTTTATTTTTCTAAAATCTATATGCTTAATAAAAAAAAAATTTATTATAAAAGGTTTAAGTTCTATATTTTATGTATTAAAGTCTTCATTCGCATTATGAATTATATATGGATCAAATTTGTACAATAGCCAATCAAATTAGAACTTGTTAAAAGAACAACATTAAAATATGTGAGGATTTAATAAATTATATAAAGATGGCAAAATATTTATAGTAGAAAACTTTTAATTCAACTATTACTGATATTATTTATTAATACAGTGTGAGCGAGAATACATTTAAATTAATTTAAATTTTAGAGTTAGGGGTCACCAAATTAAATATATGTATCCGGATATCTTGTTCAAGTCACGATCTTTAATTCCAACTAAATCAATGAAATATGAATTAAAATGTCCTGATTAACCAATTTTGTTAGTCTACTGCAATATTCATTAAATGTGATAGACAGAAATATCAGAAACCAATTCAACATTTTGTTCGTTCAAATATCACGTACAAAGTTGAAAGTATAGTGCTTACAGGATATAACTTAATTTAAGTGTAGATATCATAATCGTAACTTTTAAAAGTATCTACACATAATACGCTTTCAACATATAGTTATTAGAATGTTAGATCGCCTTGTCATTTCGTTGACAAGTTGCTCAAAAATAAAACATGTTAGTGATTAGTGATATGACATTTATATGATACCTGAAAAATTTTAGCGTACAGTACGTACTGTACGTACTGTACGTATAGTTCTTTTCCTGCATCTGATTGGTTGTAAAAAGTGATCGGCAAAAAATTTAGCGTACAGTACGTACAGTTGGGGTGTCCAATGTACTATGTAGATCAAGTTTATGTATAGTCTCATATAAAAATTACTATTAGATTTTTTTTTTAGAGATGATCACCGATTTTGACTTTTATATTTGATAACGATAAAAGAATCTTTTACTGTGTATTCGTATTTATAAAATTTTTTTTATTACATTACGATTATGACAGACTTTAAATTTTATATAAATTTAAAAATATTTTAGTTGCTTCTTCTTCCTCATGCATTTTCACACCATCTTGAATTAATCTCGCTGATTGCTTTTTATGGTTTGTACAAACTTTTGAAAGTCCTAAAGCAATATTTTCTTCATCAATATCTTCAGACAAAAATCATAACTTTGATTGCTTTAGGTCTTGCATCATATTTGGATGGGTCTTTAAATCTAGTTTATTAAAGAGTCTTTCGACCTGCTGTTGGTGGATTATAATAAAGTAAATTTGTTCTTTAACAAATTTACATAATAACTGATATTCATAAATTTTAGAGGTTGGGGTAAAACAAAAGTTTTGAAACTTGTTCCTAAACTCTAAGGAACCTAATAATTCTTCCCAAAGGTTAAAAGTATTATTAGTTATCTTCAAATCAGTACGTAATCAATATGCTAAATTTATTTTACAGTCTGTTGGTTCTACAAGTTACTGTTAAAAAACAACAAAATAGAATGTTCAGGTAAATTCATGACCTGAATTTTCACCTAAACTGCAGATTAATAATGGTAAATGGATCCACAGGGACATCTATTTTAAAAAATTTTTATATGTTTTGTTTATCTACTGTTCCAAATTGTCAAAGAGCTCATTAAAGTCTTCATTATTTAGTAATTCAAGTGATATTAGTAGTTCTTGTCCAAAGAATGTATCAAAATATTCTCTGAGTTCATCTAAAAACTTTAATTATTCATTCACTTTATCTGGTATTTCATAAGCATGTTGGTCAGATAGAAGTTGAGCCAAATGGATTTCTTCTTAAATACAAGGTATGAGATTACTTCTGACTATAAATTGCATTAAAGACTTATATAAGTTCTTACCAAATGTAACTAAACACTGAATTTGAATGTTTAGTTTTTCATTTAAGAGTCAATCTCAAAATAAATGCCTTGTTAGTGAGTATAAAAAACTTATTAATAGATATATTTAAAATAAATATGCAAAAGTTTATAAATAGTAATTAAAAATTTACCAATCTGAAAGATATGCAAGTAATGTATTCTGATTATTTTAAAATTCCTTAATGAAGTAATTGGCAAATTCTATGTGTGCTTCATGACAGGCTAAATATTGTTTTGCAGTAAGTAATTCATATCTCCAACAACCCTGAATTGGCAATTGATATTAGAAGAAATAATACTCTAATAATCTATTATATAGTTTTTGAATTCAATCTGACTTCATATTAAGAGGTTTTCTTTTATTGCTCGAATTATATCTGTCGTAAAGATACCAATCCAAATATAGGAGATTATATAGTTGTGGTATTTGTGAGAATTCAATCAAGAAAGATAACTTGCCAAATGTCTCTTCAAAATTTGAAAAAACAATATACATTATATGCATTCTACAACTGATTCTTACTGTATCTACATTTGCCTTCTTATTAAACTAAACAATTACATTTTTTTTATTGCCCAATATATAGGCTGTGTTATCTGTTACCCACATTAAACATTTTTTTAGATTAAGCCCATGGATCATAATTGCTTTGAGAGTGCTATCTGCTACTGATTGATCAATACAGTTATGTAAATTCTCAAGATTGGTTACAATTACTAATAGAATGTTTTTTTATGATTCTAGAACATTATATATTGTTATGGGTAGATTCGACCCTAGGACCTGGAGGAAATGTTGCATAACGACCACGATCTGCACCACGAAAACTGTCGTACTATGATACCCACAACCCAAGACAAATCAAGCTCCTCATTAAGTGATGGTGCCGATCCATTGAAGAAAAAGCCACCTGCCCGATTTGGAATCCAACTGTCAAGGTAATATTACCTTGACAGGAAAAG